TCTCTGATGGAAACTTCCTTTTTCAGCTTTTAGGACACCTTTTACTTACTGCCAAGAAAGTTGCAGAGCAGGAGAATCTATCGAATGGATACAGACTAGGTAAAGTAATATATGTAGAAGTATAACATAAATGGTAAACTTAAGCTGAGTTGCAACATGTAAATACAGAAATAATGCATTTTAATTTAATCACGACATTGACAACCTATGGAAACGAAGAAATTTTTAAAGGAATTTTATAGGTTTGTCTTGTCAAATATTCATCAATGTCAGCCATTTTATTTCTAATACTTGTTTGATTTCTATCTTTCCCTCAGTAATTAACGATGGACCAGATGGGGCACAGTCAGTACATCATCTACACATACATGTTATTGGAGGAAGACTGATGAACTGGCCACCTGGATGATATCTTTAAATGTGGAAATATAAAACATATTAATAAAATTATAACTTGGGTTCAATTTTTTATTTATATTTTTTTTTTACATCTACATGATCTATGTATATACACGTATATACCTTCTAATATTTTATCTAATGATCAACGGTTGACATCGTATAATATTGCTTGTACAATATATTCATAATTCATTACATACCATAAATCTGGAAATTTTTGCTGTAGATAAATTTTTAGCAAATTTGCGAGGTCATTGCATTCGCAAAAATATTTTTCTTAAAAATAAATTACAAATAAGAAAATGTAAACAAAGCAGTGGTAATTCGCAAAATTTTGAAGCGTAAAAATTAATCAACATCATTTGACCCGAATTCGTAAAATAAAATCGACATAAAAATTTCCAGATTTACGGTATGTGTGGGGAAATCTGATTATTGAAAGCTGACATCGATAAATAGTTTATGTACATGCGTAACTTAAAGGTACATGGACACATATTTAAAGATAGTATTTTTAGTGCAGCAGTAATTAAGAAGGAAGTTTTAAAAGTAAAAAAAAATCATTACATCTTCCAATCTTAGATATGGTTTCCTTTCATTCCCCTTTACGTGAGGATGCTATGTGCCAACATTTGTTAAGATTTGTTCTGGATGTTCATTAGAAGTCAGGAATTTTGAGAACCTTACACATGAAGCAAACACAAAGACGAACTAAGAGATAAGGAGTATTGCCATATAATCATTTCTTTTACAAAACTATGAGTCCAATAGCTCAAATGAGCTATCAGTACAATTGACGTAAAAGTTTATTAGAATTTATTAGTCATAAAGCAATTTTAATTTAAATAAAAAATCTCATTATTTGAAATCAAACTGCAGTTTCTCTTTCCATCTTCCAATATCTGGTAAATTCAGCTGTATCAATAATATGCTGATCTGAAATAGTATGCAAAGGGCACATCATTTTACAGTCTTCTTTTGGAATGTATTTTTGTTCTGGTAAGAAATGTCCTTTGATATCGAAAGCAATCCTTTTTCCTTCGTCTTTTCGACATCTGAAACCTCTTACAAACTGTATGTTTCTATGAAATGTTCCCGCTAAATCATTTAACATGTCTTCAATTCTTTCTTGAATCTTGCACGTTTTTACCCTTTCCAAATCACATCCTGGCATCAGACAGAATACCTGAAGTTGTATAGAGTCTTCTGTGACAGACAAAAGGAAGTTGGTTTCCTTACACGAAAACAAAGCGGCGTTTTTGTAGAGGCAAGATATACCTTGATTTTGTAGTACATTCCAACCATTTTCTTGCATACAAGCGACAATAAGGCGATAAAACAAGAAAAATGGTAAAAAGTCGAATCGATAAACAAGGACTGATGATTTACTGTACGAATTGTTAATCAGATTTGAAATATTGTACTCCAATTCTTTCCTGTTCATGCATGGGACATAATGGGATTCTGAACCAAGAGCCAGCAAACCAAGTCTTTGCATAAAATTAAGAAGTGATTTCTTATGACACTTTAGATATCGTTTATTTTTCTCAAATGATCCATATTTTAGTAGTACGTAATTTCTATCTTCTTCTATCAGCTTTTCGAGCAATTCTATATCTTTATGCTTCCAAATTTCTATCAGAAGCTGATCTTTCAAATTTCCAGTCTCGTAATATTCATCCCAGTCCCCTTGGGTTACAGGAATGCCTTTGGAATGAAGTTTGTCTGTGATAATATGTTTGAAGGCGTCAATGAACCATTGTACGTCAATAATCACTTCCTCATTCAGACCATTTTCCTTAAAATATAAAGCTTTTCCGGCATCATGATAATACCGCAGCATGTCTTGTGTCCCTTTTTCAGCTTTATCTGAATCACCCTGTTCTTTAGTAGTAATCTCTGGTACTTCTGTTGTTATTTTTGAAATTTTTAAGATCCGCTCTGAGTATTTTTTCTGGTTAATTTCTATTCCAAAGAAAGACCATTCTTTTGGAATGCTTTCCCGCCATCGTTGATTGGAAGCTATGTTGAAGAGGTAGGTTTCTAAATCATGGAGAGGTAAAGTAAAGTCTGCACAATACACGTTATCGTCTTTGATGTACTGTGATAAATTGGATGTCTTAGGAAATTGATGGCGCAAGCTCTCAACCAGTTCATTCGTATCCTGTATTAAAAAAGATATTGAATTACTGTTAATCAATTTTTATTCGTGAGAACTTTGCATTCCCGCGTAAATATGTACATGAAGGATATGGAGATAACGAACAGTATTCAATATCAAAGTCCATAAAACAATACAAAACAGGAGCAGAGCAAACATGGACCTCTAAAATATCAGAGGTGTGATCAAGTGCAAAATTGGTGTAGTAATGAAAAGTTCACTGGGTAAAAATAGCTCACCCTGAACTCTCTGTTTCCTTCTTCCCAATGTGTTGCAACAATTAGAACTACGGGTTTTGTATCTTTTTGGTTGTCAGAACTACAGTAGGTATGTATAGACTTTATCCAGAACACAAAGTAGTCTGCAATTAAAAGATGAAAACATTTCTTTTTTTTAAAATGATATAATCAAAAGAAATACGTTTAAAAAAAAAAAAAAAAAAAAAAAAAAACCAATCTGAGGCCTTTTCAGTAAAAGCATTTGTGGACTATTGTTATATTTTTATAGTTGCAAGTTTGTTTCATGACAATAATTTTACTTGTTCAATATTCTTTTTCTAAACAAGATTGTTAGAAATTTAAAAAAAAACAAGGTAGTAGCTATATATATCATAATTTTGGGTCATTAAAATAGTTACATGTAAAATAGTTAATAGATTAATTTTTTTTCCGAGATACTTTCAAGGTGTAATGGTGTATTATATATCTCTTACATAATTTATACATGTATTATAAAATAATAAGAGAAAACATGGGAAAAATGCACAGAAAAAAAAATAATAAAATCGTAAACAAGAAACACAGACTGTGAGACTCGATCTCTCGATCTTGATGTTTTCAATCCAGCAATCATACCACTACGCCACGAAGATGTGAGAATGATTTGGATAAATTTAAGACAGATTGTTGAATCTTGAAATAATTTTAGAAGAAAAATTTAATATACATTTTCAACATTTCCAATATGAAGACCACTTTTAACCAAAATTATCCAAATGTAATGATGTACAGGTGTACAGTCATATCCAAATAAAATTATTCAGAAGTTGTTTTTCTGGTTAATGGTGGTCTTTTGCTAGTATTTATCATTGTTTAGAGGGGTTCCTCAGTATTGACTATATTTATGTTTTTATTTATGTTCCTCAAATGAAGTTGGGGAACATATTGTTTTTACACATCCGCCTTAGGTAAAACCTTTTCAATAGGAATGTTATGTAGATTTGCGGAACGAATGTCATTTTGCACGCACGTGCTTGCAGGAGCGTGCACGTGCAACACTTGAAATGACCGATTTAATTGATATAGGCGTAACTTTTTACATTTTTGAGAAAATGCTTTGAAACTCATAATATAAAGATATCTTAGTAGCATAGACAATATGACATGGTCAAATTAGCAAGATTTCAAGCGCATGCACGTGCGCTTCGCTCTGATTGGCTGAAACTTAAATCTCAATATCTTTCTTGTTTTTTTTTTTACAAAATCCTTTGACAATTTGAACATAGCCATGCATTAAGATATCCTACAACATGATGTATAGCAATTATCAAAAACACACGTGCATGCACGTGAGCCGCCATCTGAATGGCTTAAACTTTAAATAGCTATAACTCCCTTGGTTTTCAACCAAAAAGGATGGGATTTGGAACATGGATAGATAATATGGACTTCTACAAGGAGGTATGGTCACCATGCACATGCATACACGTGCGTGTACGTGTGCTGCAATCTGATTGGCTCAAACTTTCAAAAGCTATAACTCTCTTTGTCTTCAAACAAACGGGGTGGGATTTATAAAATAGATAGATGTAATGGACTTCTACAAGAGGGTATGGTACCATACATGTATTTCGTCTTTGTATCGCTCCTATTATATTTATTATTTAAGCAAGTTTTCATCAACAGGTAAAATTCTGTCCTTGTCTAGTGTTTTGTTTCATTGTAAGCCTATTTTAGGATTTTCATTGCAGGTATGAAATATAATGACGTATAATATAAAGGATGACAAGCTTTTCTTAGTTAAAAAAATTAAAGATTCTTTTAATAGAATTTGATGGAAAAATTTTGATATGATTTTCATTATAAACACTGTGTTCCGAAACTTCGTCTGGAATCGTAATAATACACTAGTATACATTACTCCCGCATTTACCATCCCTGTACATGTTTTTAAAAGAGAGACAGACAAATGCATAAAGTTACAGATTAAAGATTTATTGTTATCATGGAAACTTTTTAGCTATTTACTTTTTAACTTTTCAATATGATTATGCAAAATAATTGTGGAGAGTGTATGCATGAGAATGAAATCACAATATTTACGATATTTCCAACCCTTAAAACATAAACATCAAGCAGATAAAATTCAATTTATATTGTGTCCACAGTTTAAAACAAAAATATGCACATAATTAAATCAAAACTAGAGGTAATGTAAGCGATGAGCTCACTAAATGATACTCCCGCCTCCCATATAGATATAATGACAAAGTCCATGTTTTGCTGGGGCCGGGAAACCCAAAATTTGTGTCGGATCAAACATTAAAATAGGAGGTGCACAATGGCAATATGAAATAAAGATTCTGTGAAAGTTTCAAAAAATTTCACACAGTGATATAAGAGGAGTTGCTGATAAGAGATGGGTACCCCAAAGCGTAACAGACAGACGGACGAACTGACGGACGGACGGACATACCGATTACAGTATACCCTCCCATTTTTCAAGCGGGGGTATAACTAAACCCAACCCCAGCTACACCCTACTCAAAACGTTTTGTTTGTATTCGTAAAACACGTCTGTTAATCACAAAAGAATGATAATATGAAATAATTAATGGACTTCCTATAAGTGTAATCTTGTGAAGATGCTGTTTCGTTTTATTATTGCTTGATTATATGTATATAAAATTAATTGTAAAATGCATGGTGAAATGCATTGTTTCAATTCATTATTATTATTATGAAATTAATAAATTATCTGCTTTCAAAAAAGTCTTGAGTTAAAAGGTAAACAAAGAAAAATAAGAGAATCGAAAAATGAACTTCTGCCAATCATAAATATTTACATTCCCTGTGTTTTTTCTACTAAGTGACACGTGAACATGATTTTAAAACCATTTTCGTGTATACTCACGCGTAGAAATATACACGGAGAAACGTGCATTAACGTGACGTCACAGTGAAGCTGCAACAACGTTAATAAAAATGGAACGATATAGGTCAGGGAGAAATTCAAATATTGAGCATAATTTAGTTACTTCTAAACATGTAAATGTAAATATATTAAGGAATGTTTATAAGTTAGTGTGAATTATTGGAGTGATATATGCCTACGTGACAAGTCTGTGTGATTCACACACCAATAACTCACACAAAATTTTAAAATATTCCTTAAATACAACAATATCTTTTTTACGATATCTATTTGAAAATGAAACATAATATATATTTAAAGTGAAGGTGAGTAAGTGTATGCTTTTATACCTCCATAGGTCCATCCAGAGAATACGCTTCCATCTTGATCACACACTTTCTTATCTACTTTCTGGTCAAGACGTTTAGAGGCGTCCACTACCACAACATAGAAAGCTCTCCTGGTCAGGTAAATCTGGTGACAGGCGTAGTACGCACATTGGCCCCCGAAGTCAAAGAATGTCAGAGACTTAAAGTCAACATTTGTAGTATTAACTTTCTCACTGTTCTCTTGACTTTTCTTTGCTAAAAAGAGTCATCACATATCCTACATTCCATCTTTTCTTTCAAAATATTATATTATACATGAAAGAAGCAATATGATGGTATTTTTGACATTTTATTAACTTTATAGCATTAACGACAAGTTTTCTTTTACATATGTAAGTAACAAAGTGCTAAAATTACAATGCTGAGAAAAATTTATATGCATGGTTAAACAGAACATGCACCAGTTCTACTGTCGACAACACTGTGTCCAGTTAGCGTTATATCTGCATTTCCAATGTGTCATTGTTTAAACATCAGTTTTACACAGTGTTAACTTGAAAAGTTACACCCTTTGGCGCAGAAAAGTATTGATTTGCAACGTCAGTGGTTTTTAAAAGACATGGAGCACATATAATAACAAATCAAAGGCCTGACGGCCTGAGAGGTGCATCGCATTGAGGGTATAAAACTTTTTTTCTTAGAAATTCAACATCAATGATAAGGGAATGAAATAATCCAGGAATAAGAATTTATACAATAACGTTTCTTTTAGGTTAAAAAAAACTGAGTCATGGCGCTGAATTTTAGCCAATCTATCAGAAGAGAAAAAACTTTTTTTTAAAAGATAGTCTGATATATCGGTTATGATTCATTGATATTTAAATTAAATCATAATTGATTTGAATTGTATTTTAATTCCTTTCTATTTTTATTCTTTTACTATTAGTAAGATAAAATAGTGAATGTCAATATAGAAATATCTAGTACTGAATATTGAATAATTTTATATAATTTCATACCTGAATTATTTCAGTTTCTTTCATTATGTGCACTTTTATAAATATCACTACTTTGTTTTAACTTTTCCCAAATATAAATAGCCCAATATATAATAAATGTTATATACATGAAATGTTCATATAAATTATACGGGACTAAAATAAACAATCGGGCGTGGTATACGGTTTATTATGAACCCGATGAGTAATAAATAGTACGAGCTGTTAATGCAAATAGATCTTACTCCGCGCAGTGCACGTTTGTTGTTGTTTTCTCTCTTTGTTTTAATTGTTTATTTGCTCATTTTTCGTAACCTCTGTTGATTCAAAGTGAAAACAACATGTATTTGTGAGATTTTATATTATTAACTGTTTAAAATTAACAAAATGTAGATGAAACTAGAAATATGTCGATAGGACATGAATGCCCCCCCCCCCTCCCCGAAAATACTGTAAATGTATTATATTTGGCGTGTACGATATTTGGCGGAAATTGGTTTTTCAACAAGATGGCGTAGATTTGATTTAGCGCTTTTTGAATGTTCGTTAAATAAACCTTTATACACAAAGCATTTAGCGATGTACTTGATTTAGCGGAGGCTGCTTTCCGCGAAAGGCACTAAAAAGAATACACAGCCAAATGTAATACGTTTACATTATATTAGTAAAGCAACATGAAAATTTGTATGTGTATACAATTTTATCAGAATACCTTGAATAGTGATGCAGCTGAATTGCTTGCAATAGTCTGGTAGTGTCCATTCCTAAATGCATCATCCATGCAAGTGTGGATCAGGCAGGGCTTATAGTTACTTGGGAATAAAAATATAGGTCAGATCTAGCATCCGAAGCAAGTCTGGTAATGTCCATCCCTAGATGCATTATCGATGCAAGTTTGGTTCAGACAGGGCTTATAGTTACTTAGGAATGAACATATAGGTCAGATCCAGCATCCAAATCAAGTCTGGTAGTCCATCCCTAGATGCACCATCCATGCAAGTTTGGTTCAGGCAGACTTACAAATACTTAAGAATGAAAATATAGGTCAGATCCAGCATTCGAAGCAAGTCTGGTAGTGTCCATTCCTAGATGCATCATACATGCAAATCAATTTTTAGAGGAGTATATGGCACGAGAATCTAAATATTAATTTTATTTTTGCATAATCAAAAGGTAGATTTTTTTGTTCTTAGACTGTCATTATATACGTAACATTAATTCTACTGCATGAACAGAGAAAACAACGTAGTGAATAAAATATGTACAGGTAACATGATGTAACTACATCTGTAACAACGTATGCCGTTACTTACATAGGCTTTTGGGGTATAACCCCCACCCTTCCGTTTTTCTGGGAGTTTTTCTATTTGGGATTTTTTAATTGCATGTTGTTGATAATGTTTCTCTGCTATCTCTTTACGCTGTTTTTAATACATGTATTTCTTTTTCGACTGATACATACAAAAAATTTTTTTTATTCTCGTCGTCGCCCTCACTCAATCTTCACTTGATCACTATCTAAAGGGTAGGAAATCATGTAATATATGTAGTCATCGATAAATTTAAAACACATTCTTCTTCCTTTTTAGATTTCCATTTGAAATTTTATGTGCCTCCGACTTGTAAATATTTCGATTAAATCAACTGCATATAAGATGGAGTTAAAATACAAGAATAAGAAAAAGTTCACTCATCCACAGGCTCTTGTTTCATACAGTAAGCTTACTCTTCCTCTATTATATGTTGATGCAGTTGCATAGCTCTCATCAGAAGTTTGAAGAAAATATCTTGGATAGTTTCTTTGAAACTTAGCTTTGAACAGAACTAAACGTAAAGGGTGACAGAAGGACGGAAGACGGACATACATGTCAAACACTATATGCCCCGGCCATATTCATGGTGGGGCATAAAAATAGGAAAAAACATGTCATATTTTTGTGCAAGCACTTTCTCGTTCTTTCTCTTTCAGTAACTTATATTAATGTATTACCTTTCAATGATCTTGTTTCATCACATATATCAAATATTTCTTCATGCACCTCCAATCCCTCGGTTGATTTTACTTCCTTAATCTCTTCTTCACTGCAACCAAGCAGACGTTTAAGTAGCGTGGTTTTCCCCGCCCCAGCACATCCTACAATCATCCCCCGGGCGTGGTGGACTGTCTGTGTTCCTCCCTTAGCGTACTCCACATACCGCTCCCTGGACTCCTGGTCCCAATATAGTATTTCTCTAGGGACACCCACTGTACAACATGAAGGTAATAAATAGTGCACATCACAAAAACATACATATTGCTTACTTCAGTTTCAAGGAGATAAATGAAATTCGAAAAACATAGCTTCTATATTGAGGTGAATAATAAGAATCCCAATAATATAAATAGATTGACTTCTTTTAACATTCTCGATAACTTCATTTTAATGATGTAGAGACCGACGTTATTTATTAACATTCAAATATATTACTAAATTATAACATTGTGTTACTTCTGTATATAATTCTCTATCATATATATAATTATAATTCTAAGGTGCTGACTCTCTGTTTACATGGGTTCTCATTTTTGTGTTCAAAGAACACCACTCTTATAATTTTTTCTATATATCAGTGATAAAAATGTTACAATTGATTTTTTTAAAATGCAGAAATTATCAAATCTGCATGAACAATTATCTTAGGCATAAAACAGAAATAATACTCACAAAGTTTTCTGACACTGTCATGAATCCCCCTGTCAGACACGGTACAGTGTGAGATGATGTCCAGCTGTAGTTTATTTATGAAGAGGTTGCACATATTCTTTGGATTGTCCGGTACATACAGACATCTCTCTCCCTCACTCCTCATATACTCCCATGACCGGCAGTATTCTGATATCACGTCACGTGACGCTGTGGTCAGGAAAAACTCCAGACTACTGTCCTCCACTACACACTCCGTGACAAAGGCGTACATGACGTCATGACGGATATCGTCTGATACAAACGTTATCACACCATCATGTAGTTCTGTGATTCCATCAGGAATATCTACCAAGTCGTGATCAGTGATATCAGGGAAATATCTGTCTCTGATTTGATCCCTAATCACTCTGTGTGATTGTTTATTGAGATTCAGCTGATATTCCTCAGTTAACAGTAAGCAGTAAAGAAGACATCTGACTTCCGGTGGATAGGTATGGTGCTTACCTGAAATGATAATATTTAAATATTAAAGGTTTGCAATCATATATAAGCAATTTTTTTCAACTTTTGTCAAATCATTTCATTCTGAGCCATCATAATATATTTTAAATTTTCAATATAAATAGTAGATTCAAGCTCTTGTCTTTTGTACTAATAGCTGAATACAAAACTTGTCATTTGTCAACAGCGGATGATCCATGTAGCTCAGGGGGAAAGGGGGAAACTAATTTATATAGAGAGAATAAACCAAAAAATAATCCTTCGATTTAATCCATCTTCACCTTTAACAGGTCGGAGAGAATACTCGATATCGGGTATTATCCGTGAAATCGCGTATAATACTTGATATTAGGGTATCTTTGAATCCGCGAAATCGGGTATAGGAGGTGTAATCACCTAATAAAACTAAAACAATGGGATGGCGCATGTTGTCGAGTTAACTTTCATCTAGATACACATGTTTTCTAAAAGTATCACTAGCCAAGTAAGAATTTGCGCGTCAAGATTAATGCGCTCGGGACAACAAATACCCGTGGAGCTCAGTACATTTCATGATCTGCAAACAAAATGGCGTTCGAATTACTTTATATTTTTCCTTATGTTGAAAGTATATGCATCTTCCTAATGTTCATTCCCAACACAACAGAATTGTAAAGTATCAGAATTCGAGAATTTATAATAGTTCCACATCAACACGACAAACATAAACAATTTGTAAATAAATCAAATTATACGGAAACACATTTCACACACCAGATATGATGCCATGTATAAACAAGGGATTGTCTATCGTATCTAATTATGCGTCATTAATTGCTTAAACATTCATCTTGTGCATAAAATCAAATTTATTTATGAATGTATAAATAATGTAATGATAAAAATGACGATTGTCTAAAATTTTGGCTAAAAGAACCCTCTTTCCCTTTTTTTGAAAATCTTTTCTTTTTTATTTATCATTCAAACATATTTGCAGATTATGTCTTCAACATTTTAGCAGAGACAGTGATAGTTTCAGGAATACGGCTTATGAGAGAACATAACCATTGATCGCTTAATTTCGCTAAGTCATCAATATTTTACCATTTCTTGGCGACTTCAAAGGGAGGGGGCGGGGAGCTAAAGACTTCTTGGCCACCTCTGACAAAACAATCTCGACTGTGTTCTACATGTGTCCAAGAGACCTCTCTTTGAATGTCATGGTCGGTTAAACTCGGTCATATATTTTTAATAGTAGGGAAGATTTATTCATCAAATAAAAATCGTACACACTGAAGGCAAACAAAAAGCAACCTGTTATTTTCTAACACAATATAAGACTACAAGTAACTAGAATTAATGTTTATTTTTTAAACACATTTTTTCATAATAGATGAGTATTCGGAAAAGTTATTGCCATGAGTAATACGTATCATATATAAAATTAATAAAAGAAAACTGTGACATATTATCTAGAACCAATCAGATGGTGCGTTGTTGCAACCACTATTGAAATAACGACCACTACTGAAATAATTATATCAATAGTGGTTGAGAGTGCATTTCAATAGCAAATATAGTTAGTAACCACTATTGAAATACGACCACTATTGAAATAATTATATCAATAGTGGTTGAGAGTGCATTTCAATAGCAAACATAGTTAGAAACCACTATTGAAATACGACCACTATTGAAATAATTATATCAATAGTGGTTCAGAGTGTATTTCAATAACAAACATAGGTAATAACCACTATTGAAATACGACCACTATTGAAATAATTATATCAGTATTGGTTGAGAGTGCATTTCAATAACAAACATAGGTAATAACCACTATTGAAATACGACCACTATTGAAATAAATATTTCAATTGTTGGTGAGAGTGCATTTCAATAACAAACATAGATTAGTAACCACTATTGAAATACGACTACTATTGAAATAATTATTTCAATATGGATGAGATTCATTTCGATAACAAACATAGGTTGCAACCACTATTGAAATAATGTTCACTTTTAAAATAATGATTTCAATGTGGATAAAATTATTGATTTTAATAGTGGTTTGAACAATGAATCCAATATATATTAAAATAATTATTTCAAAAGTTACTGACGTTGTGAAACTTTTCTTATAATACTGATAGTGGTTGAAACCTATGTTTACCATATAGAAATGCACTCTCACTCACTGTTAAATAATTATTTCAGTAGTGCTCGTATTTCAATAGTGGTTGAAACATATGTTATTATATAGAAATGCAGTCTCACCCACTATTGAAATAGTTATTTCAATAGTGGTAACTAACTTTGTTTGTCATTGAAATGCGCTCTCAGCCACTATTGATATAATTATTTCAATAGTGCTCGTATTTCAATAGTGATTGCTAATAATGTCTGTTATTGAAATGCACTCTCAACCACTATTGAAATAATTCTTTCAATAGTGGTCGGTCGTATTTCAATAGTGGTTGCATACTATGTTTGCTATTGAAATGCACTCTATTGAAATAATTATTTCAATAGTGGTCGTATTTCAATAGTGGTTACCAACTATGTTTGCTATTGAAATGCACTCTCAACCACTATTGATAAAATTATTTCAATAGTGGTCGTATTTCAATAGTGGTTTCTAACTATATTTGCTATTGAAAAGCACTCTCAACCACTATTGATATAATTATTTCAATAGTGGTCGTTATTTCAATAGTGGTTGCAACAGTGCGTTGTATAAGCATATTATAATAAGGTATAAGATAGCGATATAAAAAAAAATTTAGAAGTAAAGAGATAAAATTTACCCTGTCTATCATATAGTATAATAAAGAAATGAAGTGGCTACGATTTTTATGAAATTTTAACGCCAGATGAGGAATTATATTTAAAAAAAAAAGGGAGACAAGAGTTTCCAAGGCAATTGAACACTCCATTATATCAGTTTGTTCTTTAACATGTTCATAAACATAAAAATTATACGAAATGTGAAAACTTGACTATGTAGTTCATATTTCAATATGACTGTACCTCGATCTTTATTGAGAAATTCAATGTATTATAAGTTCATGAAAAGACACATTTGACTTTTATTTATAACCCCCCCCCCCCCAAAAAAAAAAATAACAAGAAAATCCTGTTCATATGACTTCTCGCTCTCAATTTTCACACAAATGCTTAAAATAAAGGTAAAATAGCATATTTTGTATCGATGAAAATGCAACAGAAAAATTTACGGTGTCTTTGAATAAAAATTCCATGCTAAATTGACATATTAAAGATACTCACCTTCAATTAGCTATTTTCAAACTGTTTTCCCGTGGGTATTTATTTAATCTTATTTTATTTTCTTCTTTATAATAACGTTGGTATTCTATTATGGCAGAGATATACAATTATGACTCGCTTATACTTTACTCTAACTCTAAGGAGTAATTTATATTTCACGAGAAAGGGACGCCATACATTTTTCAGTAAAAATACATAACACGGCGTTAGTCGTTTAATTTCTTTAAAATTTCACGTTTTGTGAATAGTGCACAAATTAGAAAAATAAGTATATGGAATACTTTAATGGGAAATAAAGACAAACGAAGTGTAGTTATTTGTTTTAAGAAATTATATTGAAAAATAATAACGCCATTGTGTCCTTTTTTTACCCCAGCAGTGTTTGTCGTGTGATTTTAAACTTATTTTGACAACTGTATGAATTAGGTTTAATAAAAATAAATCCACCAGATACTGATGTACAAGTAACAGTTACTGTCATAATGCGCGGTTGCTTTATTCTTTAGTTTTTATAGAAAGTTGCACGTATTACCCGATTTGGCGGATTCAAAGATACCCTAATATCGAGTATTATACGCGATTTCACGGATAATACCCGATTTCGAGTATTCTCTCCGACCTGTTTAAGCTGAACACATTTTCATAAATAGGCACTGTCAGACGGGTATATAAACCGTTCGTTTCGTTACACCCGGTTGCATACTCGAAACTCGTGGCCGACATGTAGTGCTCCTTGCGTGGTCTTAGATTTTTTGCGTTTATTCCTTGCTTTTATATGCATTTTCTGTTTGTAAATAATGTATTTACCTGTATTTTTCATGATACTATTGTCCTGTTTTTGGTATAAATACGTTTATTTGATAATTCCGTTGCGACCGAGTAGCACGTCTGTGTAAGATGTACGTCTACACTCGTCGGACCTCTACAGCAAAATACATTGGACTGATTAGCGATCTGCTCCTTATATACGTGTTGTAGGGAGAGCGCTGGAGGACGGGAAATATGGCGGACAATGCCTTTTTATGAAGAGTGTTCAGCTTTAAATGCCACCCGCCTTGCGCAGTGGTTAGAGTCTCTGCTCTAGACGCGTGAAGTAAGGAGTTGATCCTTACGTTGAGGGTTCGAATCCCACTGTGGGACGTGAAGACCGGTCCTTCGGATGAGACCCTATAAACTGAGGACCTGCGTCGCAGTAGGTGCTGGCACGAAAAAAATTCCCCGATCACTGCTCAATGGCCGTAAGTGCCAAATATAGGACAAAATTTGTAGCCCTCCACCGGCAAGTGGTGGAGTCTCCACATGAGTAATAAAAATTCTCGAGAGGCACATTAAGCAACATACAACCAACCAATCACACCTTAACCGGAGTTGGTAGGAAAAGAAAACGGAAGATCGATTAAAAAATATCTCTTTCTGGTTTGATAGTTTCAATTCAAAATGTACGTTATCATACATAAGAGGCGTATTATTAAACATATGACGGTATTTTAAAATTCCGAAACATAGAAATTGATAGAATT